ACCTTTTGTGCAGAATAAATACCTGACATACCAAGTTTTCTACCATTAGCAAATGATTGCTGGGGTTATTACATGGGTCCTGACTGTGGCAAAGTGATTAGTGGTTAAGTCAGTGGGATTTTTTACCATGAGAGAATATCTGCCAATCATGATCAAAAGAGAAGTAATCTGCAATAGTAGTACTCCAAAAGAGAGGAAAATAGTAATTTCTAATTATTATTCAACTCATTGACTGCTTAATTCCGGAGCACATTTTGTTGAAAAGATAAATCTAGCCATGCTGTCCGATTACACTTGTCTTTGGGCTGGGGGAGAGGCTAATCTCTGGGGATTTCCTGGCCATTCCTGTTTCTGTGCTGGAACAAGAGTAGCCATCATCCCCCCTCTGCATCGAGTGCATTCACTGATGGGAGAAGGGGCAGAGATAGCTGCAAGTATCACAGGACATTAGGCAAGCACATATATAAAGTACTTCTAAGTCCTCACACTGATAATGTTGAAATTCTTTCTTACTCTGATGGTTTGAGTATTAATTTGCTTCCTGTGATTATTCAATGTGTATATGCAGCCTGTGGTTTTTTCCCTTCCCTTTTGCATGTGATGTGCAAAGGCAAGCAGTAATAGTCTCCCGGGATATGTACAGCTCTGTTCATATCTGAGGTATGAAGTCAACTCAAGACCATTTTGTTCTCATAAAATATACAGCACTGCAGTTTAGTGGATAATGGCATAAATGCCAAGATTTGATGGGCAGAACCATTTTCACTGGGAGATGAAAAACACTGTGAAGACTCAGTGCTGGACGGGAGATACATAAAACCATAGAGAGACAGAATCTGTGCTGTGGGGGTAGGGATTTCATCTTATCTGGGTGTGCTAACACCTGCCACACTTAGCTATTGCTAAGTAATAATACATATGAGATTTTTTAAAAGTAGTAATGAGGAAGCTAATGGGCTTTACAGAAAGTGCTTCCATTCCTTTAGATGTGTGTTCTGTAAAGGTAGAACCTTTTTTGTGCTGCTTTGGGTGATAAAGAAGAAGATAGTTTCCCCTCAGGTCAGTAGGAACGGACTACATGCTTCCTTCTGTTTGAGTGAATCGGTCTGGAGGGCTGCTGAGCATCTCCAGTTTCCACTGCACCTGGGGAAAATTACAGGGGAATGCTGCAGCTTCAGATCGTGTTCAGGGTATGCTCTGTTCTGAACTTGAGCAGAAAACTTTGCAGGAGGGAAAAGGAAAAAGAAAGAAAAATTTCTGAAGCTGAAGTCTCTTGAGTTGTCTGTATAGAAACTAAAAAAATCAAGCTGCCTAGCTGCCGTGCCGGTTCCAGGTATCTGTCTGAGAGCCCAGCCTATATGTCAGGAACTTCAATGCCCTTGAATCGAGCCGTAAGGGTGAGCCGGACAGATTTGTTGATGTGAACAATGACCAAAAAAGGAGCGTTCTTTAGCAAGTAATTACCAAGGGCTTTCCTTGTGCTTTCCCTGAAATCCAGGTGAGAATCCTGCGTAGGATTTGAAGCCCGAGCTAAGATGGCTTGGTGCCGCCCAAGAGCTGCCTTGTGCGGGAGAGGGGAGCGTGTGTGCGCGTCCAGGCTGTTCCAGGTGCACGGGGAAGGCTCTGCCTGCCTCCCTGCTGGGGAAACCCCGCTCCTGCCGCTGACAGCTCCGCCGCGGCTCTGCTCTGGATTACTAGTTTAATGTGTATTACATAATTGCTGGATTCGGCTCTTTCAACTCCTAAATCTTCAAAAACCGTTTATTCTATTGTCTAGCCAACAGAGGGTATTTCAGCATCTTTTTCCCTGGCAAAACTGTAGTGCATTTCAAATTATTCTAAAATTACCCGCACTTTTGGAGGACTAATTTGCGTCTGTCCACGGAATGCAGTCATGGACGAGTCCAGCCAGGCCCGCCGAGGGCGACGGTATAATTATAATTAGTGGAAACGAGCTTGTTTTCCACCCGCTTGGAAAACCGTGGAGAGAGTGGCACTGAGAGAACAGAGCGAGGGCTGGGGGCAGCCCCTGCCTCGGAGGCGGTGCGGGAGAAGGGGGCGGGTGCGGGGGGCGAAGGTGAAAGGGGGAAATAGCCCCAAAGCGACGCAGCGCTGGGGTATTTTTTTTTAATTCCTTCCCCTCCGCGCGGGGTGGGGGCGGTTTCCCGCCGGCGGGGCCCGCGGGTCCCTCCCGGCCGCGCATCCCGCAGTGCCGCGCCGCCGCTGCGGAGGCGGGCGGGGAGGGAGGGACGGGGCGGGCGCGGGGGGCGGGCGGAGGCAGGCGGCGGGCAGGGCGGGCAGGGGGAGCCGCGCTCCGCGCAGGCAGGGCAGGGCAGGGCCGGGCCAGCCGGGCCGAGCAGCGCCGCCGCCGCCGCCCGCCGTGCCCGAGCATGTCGGCGCGGGAGGCGGTGACCTACCTGCCGGAGAAGGGGCTGTACTGCCAGCGCCTGCCCGGCCGCCGGGCCCGCGGGGCGCCGCCGCCGCCGCGCAAGGGGAAGCGCGCCGACACCATGGGCTTCTACGGCACCCTCAAGATGATCTTCTACAAAGTGAGTGGCCGCCCCCCCGCCTCGCCTCCCCTCCCCGCGGGTGCGCGGCCGCGGAGGGCGCGGGGGCAGGGAGGGGCGGGCGGGGGCCGCGGCGGCGGCGGTCCGCGGGCGGAGACGTGCCGGCGGCGGGGGCTGCCGCCCGGCCGTAGCTGCAGTCAGTGCGCTGCCGGGGAGCGCTGCCAGCGCTTGGTGGCGGGCGGCGATGCGGAATGCAGTTTGCTGCCCCTTCTTTTCGTTTTTTATATCTATTAAATTTTTTTATATGCTGCAGTCTCGGTTAGTTTGATAAATAAACGCTGTCTGAAGGAGTTGTGTTTTCCTAGCGACAAATTAAATGTTTAGAGGGATGTTTGCTCGACGGTTTCTGTGTTTTGGTTACACGGAGACCTTACATGTCTGAATCTTGTCACTAGACCTCTCTGCTGTAAGAAAGTTTTATCTTCTTCATATGATAAACGGCATTTTTGGCCGTCTATTTACTTAGCACCTTCTGAGATACTGGAAGTCAGTCTGCGTGGTGGTCCCCATGTGAAAGTTGCCTAAAATGTCTGAAAAAAAACCCAGCCAAAAGGAACAGGTGAAATCATTATTAGGCAACATAATGCATGTTGTTTTCTTCACTAACGCAAAAGAATAAATCACCAGAGCTGAGTATTCTGCTGTAGCTTTCTACTTTTTATTTTTAAGATGTGCTTTTGCAAAACTGCATCTCCCTCTTGTGAGAAGCAGAAGAGGAATACGATGATGATAATGTCTCAGAAAGGCAAGCTGGAAATAAAAATTTTTCTTGAAGAGGAAAAATCCTTTCTGAAAAGTCTATCATCAAATACTGAAATTCGTTCTCAAACAGCTTACTTACGCTTCCGGTAATTCTGATGGCTCACCCGCCTAGCACAGCAATAAAAGATGGGATCCATTATTTTTCAGTGAGCCTTGCAACTGGTTTTCTTGGGGGGAGCAAGGGGGGGCTGCCCCTCCTGGGGTGTGGGGAAGCAGCGAGGGTGAGGCTGGTGATTCGGCAGCATGCAGGCAGTTCTGGCTCAGTGCTCGTCTGGTGAAATGCCGTGGAGTGTCCCATGTGAGACATGGGCAAGAAAACACAGCTACAAGGCAAGCTCTTCTGGTTGTGTTGTAGCTGCTCCCATAAAAACCACCCTTAGCTTTCCTGTGGAAGCACTAATGAAGCAGAACACGAGATCTTTGGTGGCCGTTTTAGGTAAAGCCATAAGGGTATCTTAAAAGTATAAATAACCAAAATCACAACAAAAGTATATGGACCATAAGCTTTAGAGAATCCTGTTGGGTTTGGGGTGTTTTGTTTTAGGTAGCTAGACTGATACAATAAATGGTTAAATAACTGTGTTATAATACAACATTAAAAAAGATCAAATCAGTTGTGTATGAAAGATGCCAACTTTTAAACTGTATCTTAAACATGAATTTTGAAAAAAGGAAGGAAATGGTTACACTAAAGTCAAAATGTAATACTAGTAGTTTATGTATTTTGCAGCTCACAGTTGTAAGCAGCAGTAAACATTTTTCAGCTGGCTAAACTGTTGTGGTGTATCACATCTCAAAAAAAAAAAAGGAAAACCAGCAAAAACTCAGAAGTTGCATTTGGCACACGTATGTCTCATTTAGTCCAAAAGTCTGTGGTTAAAGATTACCCAAATATGTAGAAAGTAATCTCTATTTGTCTGCCTAGATAAATATGGCTTTCATTGGTTTCCATCTCTTTGGTAATTTTTGCAGTCTGGCTTCCCCTTTTAGCAGCTGCCCTGTTCATTATTTGGTTTTGATCATATCTAATTGCGGGTGACATTTGAGACTAGGGTGTAGTGTTTTTTATCCTTACCCTTCTTGGAAAAATACTGGTTAATCTGTCACTCAGTTTTACTGCAATTTTAGAAATGTTTTCAATGTACAGCTTTAAGATAAAAGTATAGACAAAAGATACAGTAATTTTTTATATATTTTTAGACCCTGAAATAAATATGGTTTATAATGCAGATAGGCTACCTAAAATTTAACCATTTCAATGAGAGACTAAGCAATGAACCTGAATACAAAGAATCCATGGCTTTGGTTTAGTTCCTTCCCTCCTCTCCTGGGAGGACAGAGAGAGAACAGTTTAGTGAATAAACCAACACAAAATAAATTAACACAGTTCAACACACTTTTGCACAATTTGGGAATTAAAATAATGTAATTCCAAAAGATTTTGGACCCTAAAAGAGCTATAATATGTACATGTACCCTCTAAAACATATATCAAATATTGTTGAATTCAGAAAATAAAATACTGCTTTAAGTGATTTTATGAGTGTCAACTTTTTGAAATTTGGTATAAAAGTAGAAGGTAAAAATGTGTTAATTTTACAGAAGTACACTTAACTAAGGTTGATTGTGTAACTAAATCCATGTTGTTACTCTTTTTCCCTCACCTTGCAGATGAAGAGAAAGTTGGACCATGGCTCCGAGGTCCGTTCTTTCTCTCTGGGAAAGAAACCCTGCAAAGTCTCAGAATACACAAGGTAATTAAATGCAATGACAGATCACTGGATCCTGATTCCTGCGTATATCCTGTCTTTCCAATTGCTGAGCCTGATTAATTAAGCTCCTCTTAATGTTAAAACACTGTAAAGCAAAGAAGAGGTGGTATCAGCATTTGTATATTGCTTTGCTAATTTAAATTACGTGAACTGAAGATGAGTTTTAATGAAGTAGCCAGACTTGCATTTCTTCAGTTGAGGTTTGTGTTTCATTCTAAATATAGCATGCCCATTTACTTAAGAGACTTTTTGAGGGCTAGAGCATTCTTGGGAATAAAGTCAAACAGATTTTAAAAAGGGACATAACGATAAAGACTAAGACTATTAAAATTGTGATCAAATGTATCACTTTGCTATGGTAACAGGAGTGAGAGAATGGAAATTCATGTAGGCTGAGCAGACCATCTGATCTTAACAGGAACACACATGTATTTGCTATCCACAATGTGAAAGTATTAGGAGTTCTGCTCTGCTTCCTTGCTGCTGCTGTGTGGTGCCAGGAAGCACAAATCCCTGCTACTGTTCCCACCAGGTGGTTAGGAGTGCTGGTGGGGTAAAGCACTCCTAACCATGAGCAGCAGTGCAGGGCTGTGGAATGCACGCCCTACAACTGCATTCTTACTATGTAGTTGCCATAACAATTGTGCTTGGATGTCACACTGCTTCCCATCCTGTTTGAATTTAGAGTATTTTGCGTTTTTTCCCCACTATAAGCATCGTCCCTCCCATGAGCCTCCCAAGGCTCTCTGGAAATGGCACTTCTTTTAAATGCACTACAGTAGTGTTCAGTCACTGATGGCTCTTGCAAATAGTTTATATTTTATTTCTCTTCCTTTAAGAGGTTTATCAGGTGATGAGTGAAAACTTAGGCAGCAGGTCCTAGGGTTGCTTTTCAGATGTGTGAATGCTGCAGCAGAGTAAAGGAGGTGATGTGCTGTTGCTGAGAGGCACTTGTTGCAGCTTCCACATCCTCCCAGGCCTGCAGGTGGTGTCTTCTGATTTCTGAGTCAGTCTAATGGAAGGACTCTCTTGTTGGCCACCATTTCTTAAGTTGACACACTGGGAGTTCTCTGCACTCCCAGAAGAGTAAACAGTTCAGCATTAAAGAAAAGCGCATTTTTGTCAAGTGTGTCTGTCAGGTTCAGAGGATCTGCTGGATTTGTCCAGTTTCCACAGAGACCTGACTCATTGTTTTCAGGGGGATGAAAACATAGAGGAAAAATGAAGCATGAACAAGTGTCTTCTGGTTTCATCTGAAGCCAAAGGAAAGAAACTTTTAAATCGTGTTTTGAATAACTGTTTTTGACTGAGAACCAGTTTACAGCAGAAGAAAGTAAAGTGTAACAGTTCTACTGGGGCAAGTTCCAGGCTACAATATTGCTCAAAACCAATAAAAAGTAATTTCAAGTGCCTTATTTTGGACCTTGAGTGATAGGCCTTGTGCTGATCTCTATGCAGGTCATTAGAATGACTAAGCTGTAAAATCACATTTTTATTTTAAAAATACTTTTAACTGACATTACTTGGATTTTGAGTAGCTATTGGCATAAAAGAATCCTTAAGTAACATTTGATCCTCCTCTCTTAAACTCTTTGATTTGGTTTTATCTAAATAATATAAAACTGCAAATGATGCAGTTCTTGTGCCTACTTGTTTCCATTTTCCCTAGGATCAGGGACTCTAAAATTGACCAGCTGATGAACTTTGTTTGCATATAACAGGTAAAGTCAGTAAACAGATGCCATTAGGAGGATCCTTCATCTCTGAAACAGTATTTTCATACCAGCTTCTGTTTCTGTTATTACTCAGCAAAATGAACAGTTAAAAATAGGCCTGCTCAAACCAATCTTTACTTTTCTTGACCAGTTTGGGTAAATGTTAGGACATACTATGATTGTCCTTCAGAATAAGGAAGAGTAGAGTGAAATATTTGTAGAGCATAATGAGGTAAATATTAAAATGAACTTGCCTTGCATCATTTAAAGCTATTGCTGTAGCCACTGAAAAATCAGTAGACCCTCTAAGCTCATGCCTACTAAAAAGTTTGGTTTATCCTACAAAAAAACAGAGGGTTTTTTGGAGTCTCACACTATAATTAAGTGTTCATGTTTGTGCAAATACTACTGGGGTTCCATATTTCCTGCTAGGGAATACAGCTTTGATATTCTATGAATGAAGTACTTTACATTATATATAAAAAACAAAACAAAACCAAAAGAAAAACTGATCCTGAAAATGAAAAAAAACAACCAAACAAAAAAACCCCAAACCAGAAAACACAGTCAGCTGTGTTTCTTTAGACTCCCACAATAATAGCTTAATCCCAGCTCTTTTAAAAGCTCCATTCCGTACGAATGAGCTGGTTTTTAACATGTCAGAGTGAAAAAAAATCAAACTGTGATTCAGAGAGCACCTTTGGCTCCTTTTCCCTTTTCACTTCACACCCCCCCCCCCTTTAGTTCCTGTGTCATTCCATCAACACACAAACTTTAAAAGACCATATAGAGTATTTCAAAGTCCAATTCCAGACCACTAAGCCACTAGAACTGCTTGATATTACTATCTCTTTGTCAACAAAATATATTAAAACCTAAAAATAGATTTTTTTTTCCCTTTCTGTTTGGAGATGAAGCAGCACTAGCACATTTCACATACAGGTGGAAGTCTGAGATCTGGCTTCCTACATCCCCTGTCAGGAGGCAGCAGTGTAGCCCAGAAGGAAAGGAAATACTCTGGCAAGGAAAGGAATGTGTAAACCTGTGTCTTTACACACAACTTGCTGGGCAGTTAACAGAGTGATAGTTTTTCAGCCTTGAAATGTGATCCTTATTTCTCCCCTAGTTGGAGGGCTAGCACTGCAGTGGTAGAAGCAGGCAGATTTATCCAATTGAGGGACTGACCTCTTGAGTGACCAGCTGAACAATTCTTCATGCTAATGCTTTTGCTTGAAGCTAAAGAGTTTAAGTAATAGTTGCAAACTATATACTAGATTTTTTTTGCTCTCTTGTGAATTTTCCTTGATGTTTTACCTATGGCTGTCACTTCTTGTTTGTGTGGCAGTACCACAGGGCTGGTGCCATGTTCCGCCACGCCGACGACGTTTGGGGACCTGCGGGCAGCCAACGGCCAGGGGCAGCAGCGGCGCCGCATCACATCCGTGCAGCCACCCTCCGGCCTCCAGGAATGGCTGAAGATGTTCCAGGTAACTGTGCTTGCAGAAATGAGCATCTGAAGCAACTCTGCCTCCATGGTTCGTGTTAGGGAGCGCTTCAGTGGAGTTGGTCCTCCTTGTACATCCCAGAATGTCTCTGCCATTGATTTTGTATTCTCTTGCAATAACAAATGGGCATCAGCTTTAAGGAATACTTGTTCTCTGTTTCAGCAGAAAATAACAGCTTTAACTGGTTTCTTAATAATACAATCCTTCCTGTTTAATGCTTTCACATCTTCTGCAAAGTCTGTCCGATGTGTAAGGGCTAACTACATGGCCTCAAGCCATTTTTGCTTGAGACTAGTAAGCTCTGGTGCATGGTTTGCTTCAGTGCAGTTACAGCTCTAGATTCGTCACAAGTCTAGTGTCTTCTAAGAATAGAAAGAAAAGTTTATCAATAATAGATTAAAAGGAAACTCAATGTGTATTTTTACTGATCTCTATGTACTGAACATGTCAGCCAGCACATGTGTACACAGCTGAAGGAAGAGGTTTTGCGTATCTTTTAAAATGCCTTTAGCAATGCCTAAAAATTACTTATCTGGATAAAGAAAAGATATGAAGGACAATGCTATGAACTGCTTGCATAGGTTGAAACTAAAATGTGCCTGGATACCAGTCAGGGAGCACCTGAGACAATTTTGTATATGGTAATACAAGCAAAGTTTGGGGCAAGCTTCTCCTTCTGGTCCACAGCCTGTACCATGGAGATCTTAACATTTTGCTCTGTGTTTTTAAGAAGCAGGGATAAGTCTTAGTCATTCATTTGAAAAATGGAAATATTATGTCTTCCTATCTTGATTAATAAACCATTCCTTCTAAAAGCATTTTCAAAAGGAGCAACTAACAAATACAGGCATTGTTTCAATTACTGTAACAGGCAAAGATAAAAGAACAATATTGTAGATACAGGTATCTATCATACAATTTTGCAGGCAGAAATGTGCTTTGGCTTGATTCATACTGCCACATAATACCATTGATCTCAATCACTGTCAGTTCTGAACGTTAAAATAATAATGTAGAACCTCTTTCCTCTTTATTTTTACACATTTATGATCTGCTTAAACCAGTGGAAGCTTGAAATTAGGATTCTTGTACACATCATTCAATTTCTTAAAAATATTCACATTTAATTACTGTGGTGTATCTTTTTTGAGACTGTTCATAGAAATATGTCTTTTTAACCCCTAAGAATCATATTTGAATGGTACTACGTATATTTATATGGTAATGTAATACTGCATTGTATTTTAACATTTTGTAATGTTAGAACATTTGTACTAACAAAAGCTATTTTGTTACAATATGTAACCTACATCAATGTAAGATTGATAGTTAGTGACAGTTACATATTTTTGAAAAAGATCATGAAAGAGGTTGAAGTGTTTGAGAGTGGTGCAGACACCCATGACAGTAAGAGCAATGCTATCAGCTGTTTGGTTAGGATGAGTAGTCTGTAAGCCCATGAAAATTTTGCCTATGTAGACAAATGTGTACAGTGTGTAATGTAGAAAACATGTTTTAATACATATATATTTAGATACTTTAAACTTGTCAGAATACTTAGTTGCAGTCCTAAGTGCCTAAACGCTGATCTATACTATTGAGAGAGCGGGAGAGGCCTCTCTCTCCTAACTGGAGATCATTGAGCAGCACTTATTGATCATGTCTGTCACTGGTAGTTTTTATTGCATTCACAAAAGGGAGTCCCTTACTTTTGAAGAAAAGCTTTCAGAGTCATGTAGCTCTATCTCAGTGTTACATCTGCTTGCCTCCTCATTTTCTATACGCTTATTTTTCACATGAGTTTCATGAAAGAGGCAGGTCTTACACAGCCAAATGATAAAAGCATATTCATAGGGGAGGTAGCTCTGCCCAAAGGGCAGGATTAAATGGCACATGCAGCATCATTCTTGCAATACAAAGTTTTTCCTGTAGAGAAACAGGAATGAGAGAGCTTTCTTCATGTACTGTGTACTTGCTAGTCCACCTTAATACCTCACTCATTTTATATGAAAATATAATTCCAATTAATTTTAAAGCTAAATTTCTAGAGGCATGTTAGGGGGACATATGTACTGTTTCAGGTAAAACTGTTCTTTGGCATAGAAACTGGCAGTGACCAGTGATACTTAGCTATTTTGAGGACTCTCACCTGTATGTTAGCCTTCCATCCGGCTCCTGATGAAATCAAGACCACTTTGCAAATATTAAGAAAACTTAAGATGGTCTATAAGGTTTTTTTTAAAATTTGCTTTTTATATGTATTTTCTGTTGTTATGTTTTATAATTGATCTAAGTCTTTTGGTTTTAAAGTAGTGAAATAATGCAGGAGGGAGAAACAGTTGTATAGTTGCACTTTCTCTTTAAAAATAAAGTTGTATATGGATTTCAGTGAAGTCTGGAGAGAAGAATAGAAATGCATTTTATTAGATTCAAGCCAGTTAATTTCTTGAAGGTCTATTTATTTTTTCTGATTTGCAGTGGCTCTTGACTTCAGGTCTTTTTAAAATCCACTTTAAGAGTTTTTAAAACCCAGTGCCCAAGTTTATCTTTACCAAATTTCTTCCTTTACAAGAAATTTTAAATCACCAAATTGCTTGGCATAAGGAAAAAAAGTCAGGTGGATGCTAAATTCAGTCAGATGTGGTATTTGCTTTAAAAATTATTAAGCTCTCCATTCTTCCTACTTCATATACTTAGGATTCTGGGTTTTTTTATTTAAGTAATTTATTTTAAGATGGCATTTTCATGGAAAATTGATTTTGAAAAGTTGTTCCATACACACCAATATAGGCAATCACTTCAAATAACTACTTGATTATTCAAATGAATGCTATAGTTTTACCTACAACTGGAAGCATTCTTTTTCACAGCAGTTTAGATAGTGTCCAGAATGCTTTTGCCATATCTGGCATTTTTTACATAAATAATTGGCTTAGTCACCTAAACTCCAATTGCTTACCATTCTCCCTTCCAAAGATGCTCAGGAATGAATACATGTACAACTGAATAGTCCACCTCCTCTGTGAAGCAGGCATAAAGATTGTACCATGGCCAGCATTGCAGCGCTTTCTGCTCTGTGCCTTGTGGTGGGATGAGTCAAGGGTTGGAGTTTCTGTGCAGCCCCTGCATACAGCTCTGGAGAGATCTGCACTGCAGCTTCCCACCCCTCCTGGCTGCATCACCATTCCTGCCTTGTTCCAGAGCAGTCCTGCAGACTTACAGCAGGTCCCCTGCCCATCTCTCTCTTTGGTTTGGCTCTCATGGCACTTTTGTTACATACAAGTTCAGCTGCTTTCAGAGAAAACTCTACGTTATCCAACATCTGGAAGGGTTGTGGAGTCTGAGCCAGTCGCAGCTCCTCTGGACAAGGTCCACCATGTGTGCTGCAAATGTTCAGTCCAGGGGACCGGGCTGGGGACTGGGACTCTGATATGGGTTAATGAGGGGACTTCAGCACCAGCTGCTCCTGAGTCCCTCCTGGTGTGACAAACTACTTGCTGTAAAGCTCTACAGCTGTAGATGGTGTTTCTTTCAGGGCTTATGTGCTATTTTTATCCAGACTAAGGTACCCTCGGGGTGTGGGATGGCAGGGTTTTGGATAACTGATCCAAGAGCTGGACAGAAGCAGGCTCCAAGAAGAGCCCTTCTGCAGGTCTCAGTAATGACAGACCTCCATTAACAGTATTTAGTAATGGAGAACAGCACCCTGAAGTTAAACTCTTTAAAATAGATTGTCCTTAATATACCTATTATAGCAAAAGGATATAATTGCTACAAGCTGTAATTGTACAAATTGAAGGTAGCAGATGAGAGCTGAGCAATAGAAGAGTGCAGGTCATGAAAGAGGAGAGGTGCAGAAACAGATGATGATAAAAAAGCAGGTAACAGGTCAGACAGAAGGTGTGAGGTGGAAGTTGTAGAAGCAGCAAAGATGTTGTTTATATTGATTGTAAGAAAGGGAAGACATTTACCCAGAGTAGTGCAGGGGGAAAAGAAGGGATAGTTTTCAGTTAGGGAGTACCATTGTTACAGCAGCTGCTTTACTGGATGAGGAAAGGCTGGTATGAACAGCCAAAAGGCTTTGACTGACAAATCAACACCTTCCCGAGGAAATGGGAGCAAAGAGGAGATATGTTTCTTTAGGATTCTGAAATCGTTCAAAGAGCAGTATCAGTGCTGGCTTCCCAAGGGCTGTGTTAATGAATCCTGGAGTTATCTTTTCCAAGGGAACCCCTGCTCATAATAAAAACTTTAGTTCAATTTTACATTAAAATTAAATTTCAGTTTTGAAGACAAGGAAAGCAAAGGAAGACAATTAAGCAAAAGTATTTTAAAGATAAAGTATATTCTTTACAAGGGCCTTCAATTTGAAGGGGAATTGCCTGGTAGAAATTGAAGGTGTCTGGTCACGATGCAACCTGTCTCAAAAGTCTCTCTTCTACAAAGTTTGAAACTTTGCAAACTGGCACACAGTTACTTTTTCTTTTTGTTTTGCAACGTTTGTTTACTGTTGTTTCTCATCAAAGCCACAGTTACTCCTTTTCCCTTCTGCCTGATGAGCTACATGCAATTTTCTTGCAAGTGGATCAAGCTACAGGGCCCAGAAACAGAATTTACTAGTCTTGTCTTCATTAATGCAAACAGTTGTGTTCATCTGGCAAGGCTTCCTCCCAATTTTCCATGCCAGACATTTCCCTCAGAGACCTCTCACCAACTGTAGCTGGAGGTTTGTTTGCTTAAGTGAAAGACTGAGGGGACAATGTCCTAGAGACAACGTTTTGTAGCAGTTGATTACTTAAGAAGATCCGTAGGAAGCTGTCTGTACCCATCCCCTAATAATGACAGACAGATAAAAGAGGGTTCTGCTTTTAGTCATTAGCAACTCTTTCTCATTCTGGAATCTTTTCCCTTTTCTGTCCAGATCTGTATTAAGTTTTAAAAACCAACTAAGTGTAAGAGAGTTACAGATTAAGATAGCATACAGTGACATTGTTAATTAATAACATGTTGGTAACTGCTAGCAACATTTGCCACAGCAGCAAACAATGCTCTTCAGGTAGAGTTGTTCTAATTTAGTACATGTAGCTGCTTATAAATTAAGAGTAGACTGACCTTGGAAATTTATATTATAAGGAAGTAGCACCAGTATTGCTTTCCCTCTTTTTAATTCTCCTAAATTCAAACACGGCTGACAGATGACATTAAAGACTGCAAACGTTTGTACCTAACACCAGCTAAGCTGTGGGTTAATGAAACAAACAGCAGTTGGAAAATTGGTGAGATAAACAGTACTTCAGTGCATGATTTATGGAGAACTGCTCTGTGATGCAAATGTTTCTATTGAAAGAAATTCATAATAAAAGCTGTTTACAACAGCACTGCTGCAAGTTTGGCTGAGACAGTCTGGTTTCTTTGTAATATTCTGAGGTATTGGGTATTGGACATGGAAACCCTCATCTCCTGTGGTGATACTGCATACACACAGGTGGATGGGGAATGTTTTCTTGCCAGCTTAAACCATTTTACCAATTGCCCACAATGTGTGGAAAGGCTCAGGTCAGGAACTTCCTCCTCCATTAGGGTAGGCTGTCCAGTAGCTGGCACACATTTGCTGCAGGCAGGGGCATGGCAGTGGGGTGAGGCAGCTGCAGTCCCAGAGTGCTCTCTCCGTAACTGAGCCACCTCCACTGCCCTGAGGCACTTGGGTCACTTGGAAGTCCCCATGGCCATGGTTTGGGTAAATTATACTTCTACTGACATTTCAAGTATTTTGCTGTTTTAATTAGGGAGAAATGATGCAATGCTGTGATCTTTTTATGTTGAGTAAAGCTGGGTATTTATCTGCTTTACATTCACTTTGAGAAATTCCACCTTCTTCTTCATTTGCCTCATTGTTCTGGCAGAAACTGCACAGTACACTAACATTGTAGTATGGTGGACACCAGAGTGAATTTTCAGAGTCAAATCCAAATTTAGAGCATAAGTAGTAAAGACCTGAGATACATGGCAGACTAATACAGAAATCTAAATTGTAAGGTATCTTGCCCTCTTTTTTTGAGTTTGAGTTAGCCTCTTATGGTAACTGTAATATCATTTGTATGTGCTAATTTACTTGTAAATGTCATTCTAGAAGACATTTGAGAAGAGGAATGTGAATCTGCTCTCAAAAACTGTGATGTCTCATTTTCTCTCTAAGGTTTTATTTGTGCTCTAATTCTGTTGCTAAATCAGCTAGCAGTAGCTGTTGTTTTTTTCAGTAAAGTTTTTTTTCTTTAAATTGTTTTCATATAACGAATCAAAGCTCTTTGATGAGCACAAATGAGTTTAAGACATGATTTTTAGATCCTCAGTATATTAAGTTACAAATTTTTTTTCCTACAAATGATGCTACTAATCTGCTGTGCTCCCAATTGAGTGCCTTATTAAAATCTTCAAATTTTATAGCACCCATTAGTAAAAATGTGAAGTAAGAAAATTACCAATCAAAATTCCCTGTTTATTCAAGTGTAAGTTGATATGTACAAAATATGCATTGGTTTATAGCCAAGATTCTGAAATTACAGCATTGTCACTTAGGGACACACTGTAGTAACAATCAGAGAGTAAGCTAATGTACTTTTCAAGAAAGTTTTTTACTTTCCTTTCCTCTTGCTTCAAGATTTTGGTCTACCAGATGAAACATGAAGATTAAAAGCTCTCATCTCACTTGAATGCACAATAGAGAAAGGGTGTTCATTCTATTGCAACCCCTCCGTTGTCTGTAGCATGTGTGTAGATTTCATCAGCTTCAAAAGAAGCTTAATTAATTCAATTATTATTACTAAATATTATTATCTATTTAATTGCCAATCTGTATGTGCGTATAACAAATCCTTTCTTAGCTTATGAATTAGTGTAGTAATTTTGAATATTTTGTGTTGATTAACTCCTCATTTTTGTGTCATTAGCATGAGCATTTATCTCCTGGCTTTTTATATGCTTGTATATAGTTCAATGAGGAAACTTAATTTGCCTTGTTGGCACAGCAGTGGCACTTATTGGTATAAACCAAGCCAGTTTGTTAAACTAAGCTCACTCTTTGTTTCTTCTTCTTCCCTTGCAGAGCTGGAGCGGACCAGAGAAGTTGCTTGCTTTAGATGAACTCATTGATAGTTGTGAACCAACACAAGTAAAACACATGATGCAAGTGATAGAGCCCCAGTTTCAAAGAGACTTCATTTCCTTGCTCCCAAAAGAGGTGAGAATTATGGGGTAATATTGCATTCTCAAGTGCCTGGGCTGCCGTCTTTAGAAAACTTCTGTGCTGATTTTGCCAATGTAGCGATGTAAACTCATGTTAGAGGTTCACTGTTTGGAACACTGCCATAGCATGTCTACTGTAATTTCAGGTTGACATATCTCTGTCTCTTGATAGCATTTAGATACTTGGAAATACAGATGACCCCTTTAAACAAAATCCCAATAGCTCTAAAAATATCTCTGTATCTTAATTGGGCCAATTGTGCTTTTTTTGGAGAACTAATTCTGTTAGGGCACACACACACAGAGATTTCCTCTGGATGTAAGACCTCTCTGCACATTATTCTCTGAGTGTAAGTATTATTTTTAATGCTGTAAGTGGTGAGTGTTTTGTTAATGTTATTTTTTAATTTATTTTAGAAAAACAGAACCCTAAAATCTCTACCAAATATACAAAAACTAAACCCAGAAAAGCACTTCTTACTAAGGATCAAGCCAAACTGTAATTAGCAGACACCTTACAGTAAATCCTTCACTGAAAATCAGATCATGTTTTATCCAGTTAAAGAGAAACTAAGATTTAGATTTTGGTGTGTGTAATTAAGTGATGTCCACACAAGAGTAATTTGTGATGTCATCACAATGAGAACATGAGGGTGGATATGCAGGGTTATAAACCCAGTTTGCTGGAGTTATTGAATAAATGTATTTTAGTTGACTTATAAATAGTACTTCTCACCTTGATTGATTTTAGGGAGTTAAGTCTCAATTCCTAACAGTTTGCAAAGCAAGTTCTTTTAAGTTATTCTGGTGTTTGTATTTGTTTGCTATGTTTGACATGGTTTTATTGCCTGAAGACTGTTTCATGTCTCTGTTCTTTGACACTCTTTTCTGACATATATCCTATTTTTGAATACTTGCATGTACAAAACCCTTCTTTCCTTTACTACACTGTCATATCTTCACAAGTCTGGAAGTGTCACAGCCTTCCCTTGCTGGCTGGCATTTGTAAGGGTTGGAATCAATTTATGCAGCAAGTATTAACTTAGTACACAGGACATGAGATTGGTATTTAGAGAAGTAATTCCTGCAGCAGCCTTCTTAGGGAGTGGAAAGGACACTGGGGGAGGAGAAGAGTTCAGCAGCACCCCTGCATGGTTGCTGTATTTCTAGAGAAGCTGTCCAAAGCATCAGAAACAGAGGAAGGCACCAAGAATTTATGTTTTGAAGAGACAGAAGATACTTTGCCACTTCTGCATCTAGTCAGTCTGGAAGTTCAACAGAAAATTGATAACAGTAACTCAGAGATCAGTTCTCTTTGCATGATTTTGTGGCAATACTCACTGAAGTACAACCAGTGATCTAGTTACACTGTAACTAAAGATCATGTTATAATTTCAGTCTTCACAATTTCTTCACAGAAAAAATACAGTACTTAGCAGTAAAACTTCCTGACTTAGGTTTCTTCCCTCCCCTGTAAACTACTAATGTTTAATTTGTTTATTTTTGGTGGGATTCCTGCCTCTTTAAACCAGAATATTGTAATGTGTAGCTTCATGACAGGCTGACTTCACCAGTGAAGTTGGCTTGAATAATTTTTGCTTCCTAACCCCGAGTCACTGTCACCAAAATTACCCGAGTTAAAAAAAGCCGTGGAGCTGACTCCACCATCTCCTGTGCTGTTCCCTCAGCCAGATCTCCCCAGCAGGGCTGTCCCCAGCTGCTGAGTGCTGGCTGCAGTGGGGGGTGATGCTCTGAGCTGTGGGGGCACGAGTGAGTTGTTGGGGTCAGTAATTCCATGAGGAGGCTTCCCTGGCAAAGGCAGCCCCCTGTGCAAACACGCTCCCTTGGGCTGTCGCTCCACATTAACATCTGTGCTTAGCTGCAGTGCTGTTGGATGCTATGCACTGATCTTATTACCAAACCAGAACAGGAAGATGATGTGGACAGCAGGGTTTTGCTTCAAAACCATTGTCTGCAATGCAAAGGCAATAACTGAAATGTCAAATAACCGTGGAAATGTTTGTTTTCCTCCCGATAAAGCAGCAATCAAACAGTTAATATGAAATAAATACTCTTGGTTTCTTGCTCAGACTTTAGAAATAATTATTCAAATTACTTATGTATGAAAATCAGGTTGAGACACCAATAGATAAAGAGTTCTGCTGAAATCAGTAATAGAAATGTTGTTGGTTCTGTGTGTTTAAGTGAAGAAAGAGGCAAGGAACTGCTTGCTATTGGGTGTTATTAACACTTCAACAGAGGGTAGTCGTAAATCCAGTTCAGTCAAAGGTCAGATCTTTGCTACCTGAAATTTTCTTATAACTAGATCCATGAGCTGAGACAAAGGGATGTCATCTTTTATCCACTGCTAATCCTAAAGTCAGCTGTGGGCTGTGTTGACCATTGATGACTGTTTAGATAAATCTAGTCTAAAATAAATGTTACCCATATTTAACCTGGTTTAGACTCGGTTGGCTCATAGGTTTAATTAACACCAGCTTAGCAAATGTCTGTGTTTGTATAGATAGTTATTTTAAAGTAATATTTAAACAAACTTCTGTCAACTGAGGAACATTCAGCAAAAAATGGAAAGGGGCCGTGTCACGTTTGAGTTTTGTCACATGCAGGTCTATGTGATGTGTGTTAGGAAACAGCACTTCTTCAGTAACTTCACATGCCAGGAATGAAGACAGAATGTCTAAAAGGACTAGTACAGTTTTTGCTCCTGTAATAGAGAGCCTTACAACAGATCCCAAATGCTGACTCCCTGAGTAAGGAGAGAAGAAAGTTCTTCAGGTTTGTGGCCTGGGGTGCCTACAGGATCTAACACATCATTTAAGGCACAGGTCCCTCTAATGTGGAGTGCTGTGTGCTCCCCATGAGCTGCAGGTGATGACTTGCAAACAAGGTGTGTGTGCGACCAAAATGCAAGTAGTTGCAACGTGCTGAATTTTTATTTCCTGCTCACACTGGCTTGTCTAGATCACTAAATGTTTCTCACAAAATAAAGTGAAAAATCTTCTGAGGTCAACAGCCTGCAGTTATGACTTCCTCAGTAAATTTCAGTCTTTGTTGCTTTGAAGGGCAGATTCTGTTTATATATTTCTATTTATCTATCTAATCTCATAACTTCAGTTAAAAATGAAATTGAACATCCTAAACAAAATAGATGGCAAGCAGAAGTAAAAGTGGGTGATCTAATTTCCTTGACAGCTTCTGCATCCTGTTAATTACTGAGAAAGTCCCCAATGTAAGCATGTTAGTAGTTCCCTGCATTCATGTTTATCAATATTGTTCTTTCTGCATAGTTTTTAGGGACTCTGTTCATTTCCTGCGACTTTCCTGCATCTTACACTTATTTTCCATGACAAGGGAGTTACATTGTTGCTGTCAAGTAGAAAAGCTGTACTTGGTCATCACACCCTTAATGATACACTCTTTGTGTTTTGGATTGTGATATATATGCCTCTGTTAAAGGCTTCATGGAGAGGTGGAGATTTTGGGGCCTTTATTGTAGTCACTATATGGCTTAGCTCAGTCTGAGAAGGTCTGAATTTTTCCCAATAAACTTTAGTTTTGTCACATGGAAAAGCTCATCTTCCATTTACTTTCTGGCACTCGTTAGGATTTGCCCTGTGGTTTTGGTAACAAACTGCACTGAAGTTACATGTCCTCATCCTACTGCATCCAAACCCATAAAGCTCCTTGTAACTCCACCCAGGAGTGTGTTTGAATTCTCATCAGAAAATGAGCAATACCTGCACTGCCTTTCCTATGACTGCAGAGTGGTTTGAGCTCTGGGGAATGTAGCATTTACTTGTTCTGTATTTGGGCTTTCTGAGTGATGTTTACTCATCACAATGCACATCCCTATCTGCTCACATGGTGAGCACTGTACTTTTTAGTTCAACTCTCAAAATAACTTTTGTTGAAATGGTTAGGTAAAATAACATAGACATAATTACTTTGGTAATAATTTTTCTAATGATTCAAAGTAATGTGCCTTACATTTTTTAAAAAATGTAGTAATTATTTCAGCTGACACCTATTTTCTTGCAAATGCAAGAATCATTTTGTGATATGATCTGTAAGGATTTAGTTACTTACGATGATTGTTATATTTTCACATGCCCACAGGAATAAACTGGAGTCTGTTAAGTTTCAGAGATTGTTTAATAATTTATTGTTCCAATTTTCTGTACTTCAGCCCCTGATGTGTGATAGTAAATGGAGTTATTTCACTTTTCTCTTCAAAAGCAGTACAGAAAATACACTTTCTTCTTATTTTTTACAGCTGGCACTGTATGTGCTGTCATTCCTGGAACCCAGGGACCTTCTGCAGGCAGCCCAGACATGTCGTTACTGGAGAATTCTGGCTGAAGATAATCTTCTCTGGAGAGAGAAATGCAAAGAGGAAGGTAAGGCTGAGCAAAATGATGGATGTAATGGTCGAAGTGTTGCCATCATAAAAAGTGCAGTTCATTTATATAATAAGCTTAAAGTTTTACGAAAGCAATTAGTGTGACTTTAGATTTAGTGCAAGTTATGCTTTAAGCTACATGGTATGTATCTCTGTTGAAAGCAGGGAATAGAAATAATCCATGGAGTGCTGGAGTTTAGGCTTGAATATCTTGTTTATAAAGTATGCTAGTTGCATGTTTTTAGAAGACAATTGGGATTGCTTTTTGAGGATTGTGTTTATTCAAAATGCAACCAAAAGAAATAACAGCTGAGGTGTAGAAATGGTAGGAGTATAGCCTGGCAGTTGTAGCATGGAGGAAAAACTGTTTCAGTGGTTGGTAGAAGGGCTGCTGTAATTTCACATGACTTGTAGGATAATTAAGGCAGAGATGGCACACAGTAGTGGGAGAAGGTGCTAAGAGGTTTGCTTGGAGAGGGACACACAGTCCATTAGCCACATGGATATTATCCTGTTCATGCCAATTCAAGAAGATATGGTGCTCCAACACTGATATGAATGGGCAAAAAAAGGCTCCCATGAAAGTAGCCATGTATTTGTGCACATGGAGAATGCAAGCTCTTATTCTTAAGGATAATTATAGGAAGAAGAAGTCTGTTTGGGCCAGGGGAGAATGGGGGGGTAGAAGACCACATACATGTAATCCCAGAGCAGTCTCATCTTGGACACAGGACCATGTCCAGACTGCCTTGGATTATGGAGACAAGGACTTCTGAGGGGTTAATGCAAAGGCTTCAAAAAACAAAACAATGTCAGTTGTAGCTGGCTATTTGTGAGGGCACCGAATATGCTTTCTTTTGTGCTGGAAAGCAGGTGTCTGACCTCCTAAATCTTCTCTACAGATTCTCCTCTTAAAAATTTCAGTGAAAATGCATGAAAAGGAGAGAGTGATAAAAAAGAAGGTGAGAGGGGAATGAGCTTACATTTGTGAGATTACAAGTAAGAATAAATACATCCAGGTAGGAGAGCACAGGCAAGCAGGCCAGTATTGCAGCCTGCTTAGCCTCAGTGAGCTGCTTAGTAACATGAAGGGGCCCTTAATTCAAGATTGCAGAGAGAGACGGAGCTAAAGGCAGAAGAGTGAAATCCACATACTGGCAAGACACAAGACTCCTGCCAGTAATGAAATGCAGTGGAGAGAAGAGCTGCATAGAAAAGAGAGCAGGGTGAGAGAATTGTAAAAAAAGCTGTATCTGTAGTAGCAAGGGTAAAACAAAGCTCTGCTGCTTAAGTGTCAAGTCAGAAAGGGCATAGCTATACTTAAATTCCAGCCAAGAGAGGACAATGCCAAAAGCACTCAGCCTTTCAGATCAAGAAAGTAATTAAAAGCTCACTAATACCAGGAGTCACAGTGAACTTAAAGGTAATGAAGATGGGTGATCAGAGTGGAGAACCACAGACAGAAAGGTTGACTTCTCGAACTGTTCCAGAATAAGCATGTAAGTGGTTAAGGACATTTTTGGACAGTACGCGTTTGTAAAAAGCAATATTCTGCTGCATTGCCTCAGAAAGGGGGATCCAAACCCGAGCTAGGAGGTTGCCAGCAAGGAATGATGAACTAGAGCATTTTCAGTTGTGATTATGGTAATGATTATGCTGAACTGACAAGGACAGAGAGAGTATAAATCTCTGAGGAGCAGGATGGTGTCACTGACACACAAATGTTGGCATGCAGGAGATTGTTACATTTCTGCCATATTTTAATGTCAGGGGTCACGGTAAAGGTTTGGGAGGGAAAGTGTTTTCTGTGGGGTGGCCTCATCTCTTCCCCTCCCCCTCATTTTTTAAAATTCCATTTTAGGGATTGATGAACCATTGCATATCAAGAGGAGGAAAGTAATAAAACCAGGCTTTATACACAGTCCATGGAAAAGCGCCTACATCAGACAGCACAGGATTGATACCAACTGGCGGCGAGGAGAGCTGAAATCGCCCAAGGTGAGGTTCTGAGCTCTGTGCACGGGGCTGTGAACAAAGCAGGAGCAGCTCGTGCCTCGGCTTCTTTCCTTTGGACAAACAAGACTATCCATGCACAAAAAGCAGTGAATTGCTACAGAAAAAAATAATTTGTGTTGTAGCCCACCCTGGATTTAAATTATATTCTGGCCACCATTTTGGCAATGTGTTACGCTTCATACTGCAGAACCATTTCACTGCTCTTCTAAGAATTCCTGTACAATTTTGGGAATTCTTATAAATTGCCAGTCTCTTTGAGACAGGTAATCATGAAAATTGATTTGAAATACTTATATTTAAACATACAGACACATATATTGTACATATATAGGTGTATATGTATGTATTGGTAGAGCTGGGTCATGTTGCAACCTAAAATACTCCACAACTGTTCTGTGATTAATTCATGCTTTATTTTTAAATATAGTCTTCTAAATTGAGCAGCACAAGACAATAACTTCATTCTGTGTTAAGATGTCTGTGGGGTTTTCTAAATGTTAAAATTATTTTAATGACATTGATATTTATCATTGCAACCTTTCCAAATGAAGACATGAAGCAATTTCAAACCTTTTGTAAATAAAATAGCAACTCTCTAATCAAACCTGATAATGAACAAGCAGCCAGAAATGTCAAAAAAACTCATATTCATGGCTTTTTAAGGTTTTAAGGCAATTTACCTGTTTTCTTAATTAAAAATAACAAAATAAAATAAGAACAAAAGAGTTCCCTTGGAAAACCTATGGCTATATCCTGCTGTTTATTTGGCTGTGACTTATGTACATCTCTGGCAACGGTTCTGTATTTCTTGCATTGATATGCCACATCAAGTTATCTTGGAATTATTATTAAAATTACAGCCTCTGGCATTATCCAAATGCCATTTCATTTCAACAAACATCTTAAAAATGTTTGTATATCTTAAATAAAAAATTATTCATCCTATGTATTCTACTAAGGATTTTTTTTTGCTGTATTGCAATAAAATATACAGAATTACAGTTTTTCCAAAATCAAGCATTGAAAATCCCACCTCTGTAAAGCAACATTCCAGTCCACATTCCCAGCACATGGAATTGTTGCTTTTGTTTCCATTTAATTGAGTTGATGGTTTTCCAGTTTTTGACTTTGGTGCTGACTGGCATTTAACAGAATACAATGCTTGGCTGATAAGGGAAAAAAATAGATGTAGTCAGCCTTGGCCACTGAAATACAAATACACAGCAAATAATCAGTCCATCCTTTTCATTCAAGATTGAAACAAAAGGTAACAGTAAATGGAAAATCAACTGAAAAATAAAGAGATGGAATAACTGCAGAGGAATAGAGCAGTGTCCAGTTACTAATTCAGCCCACTTTTGTTAGTCCTTTTTCCTGGTACTTTCAGGAGGCTTGCAGTAGCTGTAGTTCCCTGATAAGCAATGCATCATCACTCCATGGAAGGAGGGAAACACCTTCTTTGGTCCCAGCTGGCGGTAAATTAGACTTGACACGCGGGATTAAGGGGCCTTATTATTACTGAAGCAACTCTAGCATTTTGTAATTTATGAATCAGAAGAGCACTTTGTTTCTCCTGCTTCTCTAATCTCCTGCATTAAATTGTGACTGTTGCTTTTGTGTTCTTGGTTGCCAGGTGCTCAAGGGCCACGATGACCACGTGATCACGTGCCTGCAGTTCTGCGGGAACCGCATTGTGAGCGGCTCCGACGACAACACGCTCAAAGTGTGGTCAGCAGTGACAGGCAAGGTGAGGTGGCTGCTCTGCTGCATTCCCTGGGAAATGAGCCACAGGCAGGGCAGTGGCACAGCAAAAGTGCTGCTGGGCCATCAGACCGCGCTGCAGGGTGGCCTTGGGTGCTCTGGGGGAGGAATTGGAAGATGTGCCAGATAAACATGTGGGTTGCCTTTTCCCACACAGAAACTCCTCCAGTTCAAAAAAGTCACCTTGATGTGAAATTGCAATGCTGCTCATGTTACCACTGGCATATATCCTTGTTCTCTTGGCAATTCTGCTATTCTTGTGGAGTCGATTGTGACATGGATTTTAAAGAATTTGGACAGAAACATTACTTTATCTTCCTTAAACCTTAACTTAGGCTGCATTTACCCCTCTGGATCTCTTTTTCTCACTTATCTTCTAGCATTCTTTCTATTGTTTTCAAGTTTTTGCAATGGAGTGTTCATTTTACTGGCTCAGATTTCAAATACAGAGTTTGTTTTTCTTTCCAAGCTCCTATATTGCTGAGCCACAAAAAAAAAAAAAAAATTAACTTGCTTTAGGTTTAAATATTTCCTATTAAATTAGATCCAGCTCAGGCAGGAATTTAATAAGCTTCAATAATTTAATTCTGGCTTAGAGGAGCAAAACAATATGTGCAATCAAAAAGACAGTTCTGAGCATTTCAGTCATGTTAGAACATCACAGCTACTCAGCCCACAGGTTTTTTTTTCCTGAGGTGACTGACCGACCAAGGGTGTAGAAAAGGCCTTGGGGAAACAGTACTTTTTCCTTTTAGACTGGTATTGTGTCCACTTAGCTTGGATTTAATGGTATAGATAACCACAGGACAGCTGCTGAGGATAACGTGTTTAAGATGTAAAAGGTATCCACTTCATAATGTGGAAGCTGAATGTATTCAGCATTTGTCATTGCATGCCCAGAAGTTCCTTGAAGGGATTGCTAATCCTACTGTGGGTAAGAATAAAATTAAGAGCCATAGGCAGCCTCACCCTGCTGCTGTTGGCTTCCCTACAACAAACTGTCTAATGAGGGATCCCATAATGAAATGTATGTCTATTTTAATTGAAAAGGGCAACCTAAACACAAATGAAAAATACTTTCTTTGTACATACCACACTCCCAAAAGCAAAATGTTCCCTTAAATATATCAAATTAAGCACAGTGGCAAGACTTAACAATTACTGTTCAGTAATTTTTTGAAAGTAATTACAAAACCTAGTGTGGCCATTTACCCTAGACCTTTAAGAGAGCCAGAAATTGTCTCTGAAAGATGGAAGCATGCTGTATCAGCACTCATGCTTACTGATGCTGAAGAATTAATAAAATAAAGAAACCCTAAAGGTTGGTTTGTGCAAATGAACATGACTAAATAATTCCCTTGACAGATGTAAAGCCCAAAATAAGGATTCTGTGTTCTTGCTGCTTTAACAGGATGATTTCTTAAAAAATGAGCACATTGGATGAAATAAGAAAAAAAGAGAACTGTAGAAATGAACATCAGCTATGAACTGAAAAAGATGGATTTGATAGCAGTGAATTAAGCCAGGAGCCAGTAATTGCAGAAAACTGGTTAAAAATTGTTAGAGAACAGTAGAACAAAAAAGCAAATTATTTTCAAGGATAGAAAGAACAGGATATTAACAACAGGAATTACTATATTGTTACTGATGCAGAAAAAAAATTTTGGAAGAAAATTCATGTGATGGAAATACAGCATGCAGTGATAATAGAACATTTCAGCAGAAACTCATGCTTACTACTGAAGTTATGGTTTTTCTTATTAGAGTTGATCCAGATAACTGGTGTTTGATTTTTTTTTCCCTGAAGTAACTTTTGGCTTAATATTAGTGCATTAAAGGTATGATCACAAGGAGAAGATGCAGGACAGAACAGTTAGGAGGCCAAAATGCATCAATGTTTAAATGGAGTAAACTGAAAGACTGGGTATTTAGGATACACTATCTCAGATAAAAAATATTGGACCGCGTCAAGAGGAGTCAACTAACAGTTAAAGGAAGGCCACGGCAATTAATGCCACTTAGCATTAGATTACAGAAAAAGAGATCCTCAAACTGCCTTGACCTCTTTTCTCGTGCAGTTACAGGTTTGACTGATAAAAATAATAGTGCAGAAGTAGATGGCTGTGTGCACTGAAAGACTCTATCCCCATGACAGAACTGAAGAAAATAGAATAATGCAAAAATCAACATGGCACATATTTAAATGGGTTAGAAAATGGGTAATTATAGAGATCATGTTGTTAAAGTAAATGCAGAATCTTCATGGAGTATCTTTCTAGAGGAGTCTTGCAAGGATGTTTCCTTGTCTGTACTAATTAGCATTTATTGCTGCCTGGTGGGAAAGCATATATAGTCATTACTTGTAGGGAAAACAGCCTGGGAGACAGAGACGAGCCATTGTTCCGGGCCGACAGGGGTTTTGTAGAGGAAGGTGTGAGCAAACACTGTCTGTACATGGTGAGAAATCATGTCATCCATTTGGGATCAGAGAAGGGAGGCTCTGCTTATGTAGTGTGGGATTCTCTCCTGGGCAACAGGAAAGTCTGAAAAAGGTCTGAAATATGAGTTTGCAAGGAGGGATGCTATAGCTGTGGTTTACAGAGAGCAGTGTTTCTTGGATAAACAGACAAGAAAATACAGCAAAAATAAATGGTTTATAGATTGGTGGTTAAACTACGAAGTGTGTGCTCTCTCCACTTCTAACACACTTCAAAAAGCTATTGGAAATCCTGCAGTGACTCAGAAAAATGCCAGGAATATGACTCAGGGCTGCAAAACATGTCCTTGTATTGAGAAATGTGGAAAGACGGCTTAGTTTGTCAAGGGAAAGATTACAAGAAAAATTCCATATAGTTGAAGTACCAACAGTTGAGAGAGAAATTTGATGAATATTTTTTAAAAAGGGGAATTTTTTTGTTAGATCAGAATGAAGTTTCCAGGGGTCTTCCGGTTCTTGCTATGAGAGCCGACTCTTACCTCCAAGATTGCTTTTTCTTAAAGTATCCGTTCCCCTGTGTCAAAAGGGTAACTAAGGAAAATGTTTCTTTTCAGTGTTTGAGAACACTGGTTGGGCACACAGGAGGAGTGTGGTCATCACAGATGAGGGACAATATCATCATCAGTGGCTCCACAGACAGAACGTTGAAAGTCTGGAACGCTGAGACCGGGGAGTGCATCCACACCCTGTACGGGCACACCTCCACCGTGCGCTGCATGCATCTCCACGAGAAAAGGTGAGTGAGTCTTGCTGCAGAGCTCCAGCCACAGCCTGGCCCAGCATCTGTACACTCCTGCTCACAGAAAGTGCTCCTGAAACCTGGGGACCTCATCCAGCACCCAGTGAAACACAAACCAAGCAAAACATACATCAACACAAGGGAGATGATGATTAATAGGAGCAGAAGCATGAGAATACTAAATGAAGAACTGGAAATTGAATCATGTACTTCAAAAAGTCACAGTCTGCATTATTTCAAAGCTAATTCTTTGTTACACCATGATCCAGTCTCCCCCACAGAATAATTTCTTCTTTTGTCAATGCTACAAACTTTTACTCATTTTACCAAATAACTTTCTAAGTATTTCACTGCAGTATTTTATTTAAATTTTAACTGATTATAACATAATTTTTGCAATAATCATGTCTTGATTCAACAAACATTAGCTGAGCTCTGTTATTTGGCTGTGGTATGGAGTTGTTGACAGATTGTTGGTTGCATTTCTTATTTTTTGAAGACTGATGAGGTTTTTCTATATAAATTCCATTAATGTTCATTACATCTCATTTCTGTTATTGCCTAAAAAACCTTATAGAAGTATAAACTGAAAAAAAAAAAAGTCAAGCAGAATAGCTGTTACTTTGCTAAAAGTGAAATTTCTGAAGATCTTTTTTTATTTGTTATAATTAGTCAACTCAGTTATTAAAACAGGATGCCGGTAGCACTGGCTGGAGCTCACCGTGTTCATAAGCTTTCATAGGTAGATACAAAAGCCCACAGAATTTCTCATGGCATTGTTTTGCTGTTCAGGAATGAAGTGCCTTTGTAAATGCTGATTGCTAATTATATCAAATAGACAGATCCTGAGGAGGTGAGTAGAGGAAGGAAGAAGGGCACTCCAGTCATTTAAGACCCCATTAAAATGTCACACCAAGCCAGAACTTTGGTGGCTGGTGCATCACCTCTATCTAATGTCCCAAATTAAAACTCAGAACCCACGTGTAGCCAAGTTTGATTGCTGTAGTGCTTCCATGTGCAGTGCTGAGTACAGGAGGGGCTCTCGTTGCTGCAGGGTGGTCAGTGGCTCTCGAGACGCGACGCTGCGAGTGTGGGACATAGAGACGGGCCAGTGCTTGCATGTCCTGATGGGCCACGTCGCCGCTGTTCGGTGCGTTCAGTATGATGGCAGAAGGGTTGTAAGTGGTGCATATGATTTTATGGTCAAAGTGTGGGATCCAGAGACAGAGACCTGTCTGCACACACTGCAAGGGCATACTAACAGAGTCTACTCATTACAGGTATGTGCTTTTTATCTGCTGCTTTAGTTTCCTTAAGTAATGTTTAAAGTCAGTTTATTTCATCTTGTTTATTAAGTTGTGGGTACCTAGTACAGAATTATACAGACCACAAGCATACAGAGGCATCTATAATAAACCCCTCTTTCATTTTGTTACACTAGTTATATGTTGTCTTAATTTAGAAATGGAATTTTTTTTTTAGAGTAGCATTTTTTAAAGGATTCAGTATAATAAAGCCCAAGTCTCTATACCAGCAAGTTAGGTTGTTGTGGACGGATGGGTTGTTTGGTTGAGATTTTTTTTTTTTTTTTAAGTCTTGCATGTATTTTGGAGTTATGTTTTTGCTTTTCTCAAGAAATTCCAAACTTACTGTTTAAATAAATCAGAGGATATAGCCATTGACAGTCTGCCAAAAACCCTATTGGATTAATGTTCTGATTTATGAAGTTCTATTTATCCTCATTTTCTCGTCCCATCTTCCAATTCTAAACTATAATTCAGAGTAAGGCTGGACCTAAAATTTTAATGAACCTATGTAAATCTCTAGCTTTCTACTTCCTCTTCTCTAAGTACAGGCCAGATATACAAGTGTGAGACTGTTTCAACAGCAGCATGTTAATGGTGGTGCGAGTTATTATGGTGCTGCTTTGTGGCATCTCTCTAGTGCCCACCAATTACCCACAAAGCTGGCAAAGATACACACAGACCTCATGTCTTGGTCTTCTTACCTTTTCTAACCCAAAACATCATCTTGTTCATTCATAGAGTCAAAGCATCACTTCCAGGCATTGAAAGGCAAAAGAAATTAATTTCATGCTTGTGCCTGTTCACACCACAGTCTGGCAGGACTTGAAAAAGAAATCAACAAAGACAGTTCAAAATTGGGAAATGGCATTCAGCATGTAACTGCTCTGGTTTGTGACTCAGAAAGTGAAGTTCAGTGCTAGAGACATTTTTCATTAAGTATTTCATATCTCCCCATAATATATTAAATATGAACAAAGTTCCTAATTGGTTTCCTTTCCCAAAAATATGTAGCAAAATCTATCAAAAACTCCAGCCCTTCTCTTCATATGCTGAGGAGTGCTCTCTAGACAAGCAGAAAGCAAAATGCTCTACTACCTACCTACCTACCTCCCTCCCTACTTCCCTCTCAAAAATATTCTGAGGATTTATTTTGTGTGGGGCAGTTTGGCAACAGATGTTTTTCTGCCTTATCTTCACCACTGGCTCTTGTTTTGGCTTACAAATATTTATGTCTTGCTCTGGTGCTGTAGTAATAATGGCTCAAATGACTGGGTTGTGTTGCACATCAATATGTTCTGAAACAAGGGAGAAGGGGGTCGGGGAGGGCAAGCTGGAGGCTACAGGTGCTTACAGGTTTGGAACAGAAAGATTCTTTAAAATTGCCTAATGGGTCTTGTCTTTCAGCCTGAAGTAGCCCCAAAAAGCAAAACTCCCATAAATAGAATAATCAGATGGACTCTGCCAGTCCTTCATGGAAGGTTCTATTATATCTCCATATTTTCCCATGTGTAGACCTAGTATTTTCCAGAGATTCTTATGCAGCAGTAGAAGATCACTAACCATGCTGAGTTTTCTTACTCTTTCTTACGTGCCTTTGCAGTAACCCACAGATTCTCAAGGTTCATGGATAACTCACTGATCCAAACCATTGTTTCTTTCACTGCAGCACCATCAATTCCTCTGCATGCCCAGCCTTAAACCTTTCTTTCTGAATACCTTATGAACAGAGAATACAATTACTTTGCAGGAAAGGGGGGAAAGAATTCAAAATTTGTTACATCAATCAGGTTTAATTCTTCTTAGAATAAAAAAATATATTCTAGTGTTCCCAACTCTGTTGGGCTATCTGGCAGTCCTTGTCTTTTTATCTGAAGTCAGATTATTTTCCATCCTCTTTTGAAAGCAGGGGACCCAAAAGAGGATCCAGTCAAAGTCTTATCAATGCTTGCTAGAAGTGAAAGGACATTTTTTTATGCCTTCCATTCAGATACCAGAGGGTCTTTTTTAGTGTATTTTCACCAGGAATGCAGTGCATACAGCAGATAAGCAGTCTGTGTGCCAGTCACTCTCCATTTTTTTGAATGTAGGTGCCATGCCCAACCATGTCTGACTGCAGAGATCTAAGATACTCATTTTCTGCAGGTCTTACAAGAAGCAGCAGCCCCAAATAGTTGAGTTCCCTTAACTGGGTTTGTTCCTTGCCTTATCAGGTACCAGTCAGTCCACATGGACAAATAGGGTCAGATTGCCTTAAATATAACCAAGATTCCTGTCCAGCCTCCCTTCTCCCAGGCTGTGGCTGTACCTTCATTCATTCCCTGCCAAGTTCAAATCTTCACACTTTTCACTTGACTTCTGCACTCTTTGCCGTTGGTCAGTTCTACTGTTTCAAATGTCACTCAAATCCTAATGAAAATAGTAAATGCCAGACCTCTCTGAAACTCTTTCTGGTATCTCTGATAGTACTGTGAACAAAGTAATAGTATCCCTGCCTCAATTTTGTCTCTCTCTTTGTGAAAATACAACCAAGACATTTGCTGTTTCACATGGCTTTTTACTCCGTCATGGAAAAAAATCATATTGGTTAAGGCAGTTTTCCCACAAATCTGTGTTTGCTGCTACTTACCACATTACAAAGGGCTAAAAAGTTCCTTGTGGAAATTGAAGTTAGGCTGATTGATCCATAATTCCCCTATCCCATCATTGTCAAAAAAGGAAGGAATTGTATTTGCCATCTGAAACTTGTCTATCTTCCATGGGTTCTCAAAGATAGCAGCAGATGTCTCTGAGACTGTCTTAAAACAACTTGCCTTATGTGATTTTGTTCCCTCATTCTAGCAAAAGCTTGTACTCATTCGTCATTGGCATTAGGACTGTGAGCCTACGCTCACATGGCTGAGGACTGAGACAAAAAGAATTTAAATAGCTGGCCTCAATCAGTGTTTCCTTCCCAGTGAGGATAAATGAGGGTTTTTTTGGCCTTCCTCTTGGTGTGGTTTTGTTTTGTTTTGTTATGTTTTTGGTTGGGACTTTTTTACACAATAGTGAAATGGCTCTTGCTAGTTTTATCTTGTGTTGTGCCCTGCCTTTCTGGTTTTGTCCCAGTGTGCTCTTTTATACACATCTATTGATCTAGTTTCTACTTTTTGTACAATTCCTTGTGGTTCAGCCAAGTGGGTCTCAGTAATTTACAATCCTTCCTATCTTTCTTTTACACAAGATAGTTTGTGTCTTAAAGAAACTGCCAACTGTCCTGAACTCTTCTTCCCCTCAGAGAATAGATACATAAAATCCTCATGGGAAGGAAGTCTAGAGTTTTTAAAGCATTTCTTCTTGAAGCCCACTGATTTTATTCTATGGCTTTTTCCTTTTTTTGAGAATTCTGGGCTCTTATGTCATTGTCACTATAGCTCAAGCTATTTTCCATGTTTCTGTTCTACATGGTCAGTCCTCTTGGTCTAAAGAATCTCATCTCTTAGCCTGTATGCTTTGCCTACAATGACTGGAAAGTTACACTTCCTTACTGTACACAATTAGGGTTACAAAAAGCAAAATTCCACATTTTTCAATTACATTTATGTTGTGACTTTTGTGTAGATGATTTTGCAATAACGTTGTTGTTGTTGTTCTCCTGCTTAAACTCCCTCGGACTTGTAAAAAGCAGGGTTGGCTTTTTAACATCTCCTTTAGGAAAAGTACTTTCTCTTACTGTTGCACACTGCAGGGTAGTCAGGATCTGCTGTGTTTAAAGGAGATGTATTGCATTTCAAAGACCAGTGGCTCAGAGGCTCTTTTCAAACCATGTCCCTCAAGAGCCCACATGTCTTGAACAGAAAATTGCACTGACCATGAAGCACCTGCTGTGGTATCAAACATGGCCATCTCTACTGAGTTCTTACTTTGTACTGCAGTTTCTGAATATATATAGTATCTAACCTTGCATTTAGTGAATTAAATGCTTAATAGCCTTCTTTGTAAGGTCCTAATGTAATTGTTTGTAATAGATTGACCTTTCTTGTAGTTTGATGGTATCCATGTGGTGAGTGGATCTCTTGACACTTCCATCCGAGTTTGGGATGTGGAGACAGGCAACTGCATTCACACTCTGACAGGCCACCAGTCACTCACAAGCGGAATGGAACTCAAGGACAATATACTTGTGTCTGGGAATGCTGATTCTACAGTCAAAATCTGGGACATTAAAACAGGACAATGTTTACAGACATTGCAAGGTAAGTTTAAACTACCTTCATGTCAATCAAGCAGCCTACAGTGATCTGTACTGCAAATTTTACATTAAAAAACTTTAAAATAATTACGTACAAAGAAACAAGCACTGACCACTTAAAACTTAAATATTTTTCTGATGACAGCTGTATGATCTTTTTCTGAACTAGAAGAACAAAATGTATTTAATCTAATCTATTCAAATCACTTGCCTATTATGAAAGGCAGATGGTCTGGACTGATAGCAATTTGCTATGGGTATATTAGCCTAATAAGCCACAGAAATACGTAGGAAATTACATCTCAAAATAGACAGTCTATGTATTTATTTAGGGGTCACTTGAATGTTTCAAAGCCTACAGTTTAATTGGATCACGAGGCAGAGTACAGTCTGTTGCAATAAATCAAGAGATGCAAGTGGAAGATGTTTTCTTTATTTCAGTAAAAAGAAAGATTTTTTTTCTCCATGTTGACAGTTACCACTTAGGCATCATGCACACAAACACAGGCTTTTGTTTCTCCCCACAAAAAAGGTCTTATATCATTTTCATATATCATATGCAGCAGTGCTGGCTGGAGCAGAAAATTAAATTTCCCTGTAAAGCAAACTCTGCTGCTTTAACATATATATTTATATGTCAGCATATAACTGTCAGTATTTACTGATGGAGTAATCTCATAATAACACATCAAAGGATCTTGGAGACAAAGTCTTACAGCAGTCACCTCATTGAGGATGGTTAAGTTCATGTTCATGGATGTCCAGTTTGCCCAGCTGCCAACATACAGCACAACAAGATCACTGAAACAAAGAAGAAGATACTGGGGAATTTTTTTATATCTGCTCTCACTTTTTGAAAGCATGGCAAGGCTTCTGCACCTTTTAATACACAAACCCAGGAGTTAAAGCAGATAGTTCTCTAATAGTTCTAATAGGTGGAAAGAGCTGGATGCAAATAGCGAGGTGTTTATTCCAGATGCAGCACTGCCTGACTTTGCTTTCTAATTAATTACAAACAGAGATGTTTTTGTTTACTCTTATAGGTCCCAACAAGCATCAGAGTGCTGTGACCTGTTTACAGTTCAACAAGAACTTTGTAATTACCAGCTCAGATGATGGGACTGTAAAACTTTGGGACTTGAAAACGGGTGAATTTATCCGAAATCTAGTCACATTGGAGAGCGGGGGAAGCGGAGGCGTCGTGTGGCGAATCAGAGCTTCCAACACAAAGCTGGTGTGTGCAGTCGGGAGCCGCAATGGGACTGAGGAAACAAAGCTGCTGGTGTTGGACTTTGACGTCGATATGAAGTGAAGGGCAGAAAGATGAATTTGTCCAAACGTGTAGACGATGTTCTCCTTTCCCTCCCCCCTGAAAAAAAAAGAAAAAAGAAAAAAAAGAAAAAGGAAAAAAATCCCTTGTCCTTGGTGGTGCAGGATGTTGCCTTGGGGCAACAGATCCTAAAGACCTACAGACTACGAAGGAGAAGACAAAGATGACAAACTATAACTGACAAGAGAGGCTTTTGCTGTCTCGTCACATAAAAAGGCTACACTTTTGACCGGGGCAGCTTTGCAAAAATCCAACTTTAGAAATGAAACCAGGTGCAATTAATTTCTTTACTTTCCTCCAAATGCTCCCTGAGCAATTTGGAGTGGAAAAAAAAAAAAAAGTTACAGTTCTTGTTAACAGGTTATTTTACCACAAAGATCTTGAACCGAGCTGCACAGGCGAGCCTGCTCGTGCACCCTGGGTCACCGTGGGTCCCAGCAGCCCCTCCGAGCAACGCGCTGTCCCCAGCCCCGCTCCGAGCAGGGGGTTGGACCGGACTCCCTCCAAGGTCCCTTCCAACCTCCACGAGCAGTCACTGGTTGACTTTCAAAAACTAGAGAGCATCTGCAATGAGAAAAAACAAACAAAAACAAAGAGTCCATTCCTGGTGTGGAAAAGCTAAAATATTACTGTGAATTGTTTTGTACAGTTTTATCAGAGCTTTTTCTTTTTTTTCTTTATTCCTCTTTTTTTTTTTTTTTTGCCAACCATTGCCAATGTCAATCACAGTATTAGCCTCTGTTTAATCTATTTACTGTTGCTTCCATCTACACTCTTCAATGCATAAGTTGCTCTGAGGTGGCAAGTTGTCCTGGATTTTGAGAGTCCTCTGATGGATTTAATTCGCAATGCTGGTGCTAGAAGTAGGTCTTCAATTACGGGATTGTTGTCCCACCCCTGTACTGTATTCCCAGTGGCCAAACTTATTTATGCTGCTAAATGAAAGAAAGAAAAGCAAATTATTTTTTTTTATTTTTTTTTCTGCTGTGACGTTTTAGTCCCAGACTGAATTCCAAATTTGCTCTAGTTTGGTTACAGAAAAAGACTTTTTGCCACTGAAACTTGAGCCAACTGTGCCTCTAAGAGGCTGAGAGTGGAAGAGTTTCAGACAATTAAGAGTGAAGTTTGCCTGCAAATAAAGAATTGAGTGTGTGTGCAAAGCTTATTTTCTTTTTTCTGGGCAAAAATTAAAACACATTCCTTGGAACAAAGCTATTGCAGCCTGTTCTGTGGGGAAATTTTTCTTTGTGAGGGCTGTGGTGAATGGAATGAACATACATTAAAAAAAAAACTGACAAAATTTTTTAAAAATATTATAAAATACAAAAATTAAAATAAAGTTGCTGGTCAGTCTTAGTGTTTTACAGTATTTGAGAAAAAACAACTGTTACAGTTATTGCTGGGAGGAACTGACAGAGCAAAAACTTAAGTTTTTGTAAAGATGTCACATGCAAACAAAATGAGAAAAGAAAGAGTCAAATGGTTTGCCTCATTCTCCAAGAGCCACAACTCAAGCTGAACTGTGAAAGTGGTTTAACACTGTATCCTAGGCGATCTTTTTTCCTCCTTTTTTTTTTTTGTTTTTGTTTTATTTATAGTCTGATTTAAAACAATCAGATTCCAGTTGGTTAATTTTAGTTATGTAACAACCTGACATGATGGAGGAAAACAACCTTTAAAGGGATTGTGTCTATGGTTTGATTCACTTAGAAATTTTATTTTCTTATAACTTAAGTGCAATAAAATGTGTTTTTTCATGTTAGTATGTCTTTTGTTTTACATTTTTTTGTTTTCTAGTTGTTAATTTATTATTATGTATCATGTGAGGGGTAAAGCAGGTCGAGTTGCTCATCTTACGGGTAGATGCTAAAATATGTCTTGGGACTTTTTCTATAACCCTTCCACAAACAGGTGTGTGAGTGTCCTCTCCTTCAGTTGCCATGTAGGATTTGTCACGTGGGTCTGGACAAACATGGGGGAAAAACATTTGCTCCTTCTCACAAGAAACGTGTCAGGACCTTGCTCTGGGGGGGAGGCAGCTATAAAAAGCTGCCAAAGTACGTAAAACTTCTTCCGATAGCATCTTGTTATTGCATCTTAAATTGAAACCTGATGGTTATTATTTATGGATTTTAATCAGTTGATTGCAGTTGACAGCAAAGAATAAATCCATAAATACAACCAAAATCAAAGTTAGGATTGTAGGAGAGCCTGAAATAAGGCTTCAGAACAAATATTAAAATAACATCATTCCACATCAGTCCAACAGCAGTTTTATCAGGGCCTGAAAACAAGGTAAGTAATCATCTCTCAGAAACTTAGCACTTGAGTGTCAGGTTCTGTCTCAAATCTCCTTGACCAAAATCGTTGTTTTCTTCTGCATAAGCTTTTCTTTCAGGGCATAGCATTTGCTTGTTTGTGACAGTTTTCCCCTGTAGAAAGCTGTCATTAAAAAAAAAAAAACCAAAACAAAACAGTTGAAGAGAAAATGCATGGATGGAAAGGAAAAATATTTATATACTTATACATCTATGACTATGTGCAAACAAAATTTAATTCCAATCCCTACATTATGCAAAACACGCAATGGTGAAGGATCATGCTTCCATCTGGCCTCTAGAGATTAAAAAGCCATCCGAATTGACTGAGCAGCTCCAAATTGCAAAAATCTGTTCCTTGGGTTGGTGCTTAAGGAAAAAAAGCTTGCAGCAAGCACTGACAATATAAAAGCTGTGATTGCCTATTATTTATGTAAAAAACAAAGAGTTAATCCTGTCCTAGAATGGCAGTGAAAGACTGCCAGGACATTGCATGGTTCTGCTGAGAGTGCAGGCCAGGACGCTGAGCCCCCCGATGGCAGAAGGTGCCCCAGTGTGGGCTGAAGCACTGGTGAGAGGGAATGGAAATAGAAGGGTAGAAACATGAATATTTAATGCAATGAGCAGAGCAATAGCTTTTAAGATTATGTAATTTTCTTCCATGATTTGTAGAAATTGCAACAACATGTTTTCAGAGAGGGAAGGCACTGGCCTGATGGAGCAGGAGGATGAGAGGTTTCTGAGTAATGTTGTGCTGGAGGGCAGGAATTCAAATCTGGGTGGAAGAGTGAGCTGACAGAAGAGGGAAACTAACAAATCCAGGTGTACAAGTCAGTTCAAGTACGTTTTAGGCAGCCAATATGGCCAGGAGGAAAATGTGCTTAACCAAAATTGAGACGTTTTCCTGTTGACAGTGTAGGTCCAGCAGTATCTAAATGTTCAAATTAATACAGAAAAACTTGAACTTGTTAAGCAAATCATGTTTTCAGATTCCTTCATCACAGATTTAGGTTCAAATAAACTATTGGCTGCAAGGCCAAGATATGTCAAGACTGTCACCTTAAATACAAAAAACAACACAATACCTAAACATATTTTTAGAAAAGCTTTTCCCATTCAATAAAACAACTTTACAAAGTTAATTGTGTTAGTGCTTTAAGGACTTCTAATTTTGTGAAGTCTGTTTAGGTTTGTAGGAGTTGCTTATGAGCTATCTGAATAACACAGCTCAACAAGCAAAAATTTTGTGATTTAAGTGACAGAACTTCAAAGATGGCCCTGTAGTAAACACATCACATGTAGGAAACTGAGCAGTTTCTCTTTACACCCCCCCTTTTGTTGATGTACTTACCATAATATAGCTCACAATAAGAACTCTTCTTCTTTGGCAGCACATGCTCCAAGTAGACTGCTGAGGAGACATCTTCCTTCCATGTAATTAGATTTTGATTTTAAGGTGGGTGGAGTGTTTGGGGCTTTTTTAAAATAAAAACATTTAAGAATACTTGTATAAGACTATAACATCTTTATGCTCTCAATACACAGGCACTTCTTGAATCCAGTGGCTTAGTCATCATGGGCTATGTCAAAATACTGCAGCTATCCAAGGGAGATAACTGCAGTGGTGTTACTGGCATTTCTGCTCTCTTCTTTTCATGCTGATTCTCCATTTTCTTTTAGTTTTAGTCCTAGAAAGAGCTTCCTTATTTTCTCCTGTATGCAAAACCACATCAACAACATTAAGGTGGTTTATTTATGTTATAATTTTTAATGGGCCTTGATCCAACAGTAAGTCAGAACTAGTATTGCCACTTCCTCCAAGAGCCTGTTCCTGTGGTCTCAGTTTACTTATTCAAGAGATAGGACCAGACATTTAACAGCTGTGTCTACAACAATTTTTAGTTCAGATCAGTAGCTTTCCCAATAGAGCACAGTGCTGCCTTGGAGACCACTAACAGGATTCCTTCTGGGTGTAACTAAATCTGGAGTAGCTCTCCAAGAGCACACTCCAGGCACTCAAGCTACTGGAGGAACATGTGGGACCAAACCAGAACTAGTCCAACACCTCAGGAATACATTCATGTGGACATGAGGTCTTCAGCACCAGCATTTTGTAATTGGCATTACAATTCTGCTGCTACTGCACAGCACTAATTGCTGGTGTGTACATAACCATCAACAGATCCTCTCCCACAGCACCCAGCTCCTCACTCATAATCAGAACCAGCTCCCATCCCAACAGGATCCACCTGATACCACTTACAAGAGTTTGCTCAAAAAGCTCAGATGCCTTAAACTCTTTCAGCATTCCAATGGAGAGGTTCTTCTGATCAGCTTATGGAACACAGTAAAAAGAAATGTAAATCTCTTACAATCAGTCTGGTCAAAATCTACCAGTGAATCAACACCTGATCACTCATAGAAAGAAACAGTGAAGTTGTACAATTGTACAGAAGAGGCAAATAATTATCATAGTAATAATACTAAAGAAAAACTTGCCAGTAGTAACCTTCGGTCACTCTGACAAGTGGTTTATTACTTAAAGGGTAATGTTAAAGCTATACCAACCACTGAATCTTTAATGAAAGTGGGAATAATACATCCTTTCCATCTCCTGCCATTCTATCCTTGATCCCTGTCACTGTGCAAAGATACACATGCTGTGGAATGATGTTTAGCATTTTATGATGATACATGATGTTTATGATTATACACGAAGTATATGATCTATTTGATATACACCAGGATTTTCAAACTTCATCTAAAAATGGCATATACAATTTTTAAAGCACCTCCCTTCAAGCATTAGTGCAGGTTTACAAATACAACAGATGTTTTTACATAAAAGCTCTTCCAGATTTTTTTCCGAGATAGAGAGTCTGACAAACAGGTTGTCACCAAAAAGTCAGCAGCCAGTCCAGGCTCTTGCTCCCTGTTCAAGCTGCCCTCTGGCCCAGGAGCTGCACTGGTGCTTCAGGCCAAGGAAATGGTGCATTGTGCTACCAGGAGCATGAGCTGCTGAGGGGAAATACTGCACACTCTGTGAGACTGCGGTTGCCTAAGAACCAATGGCTTTATGCCCATGTACACTGCATTGCTCTAGCCCAGCTGGGACAGGAGAGTCCTATAAAATCATAACTGAGCTAGGCTAGAATCTCCCCAAGAACTAGAGATGGCAGAAATCATTAATCAGAGCAGCTGCCAATTCAGCAGTGGTTCTAAATTACAGACTGAGACTTGGCCAAAGGCATCCTTCAGTTCTCCTTTGTCCTCACCTCTGCCTCACTTAGATAC